TCCCTATTGTTCCCTCTTAGTTTATCCAGGGCTACTGAAGAAAGACTATACCTTATTGCGCAGGATGTTATAGGTTGTCAGCAGGGTAAGCGAAGTGCCACTTAACCAGCTTATTAATATTCTGGTGGACAGGCACTTGGACTCGTGTGAAAAATGAGCTAAATCCATTCTATCTATCTAACTCACACCACCACCCTCTACATTCACAACTCTCCCCTTGTATCTCTTCAGGAAAAACCAGAAGCCTATATAGAAAACTATATGCTCGCACTAGTAAGTACAAAAACTCAACCATACCCTACTTAGCTCGAGTTCTGTGCGATAAAGAAAGCATTAGGTGTGAAACCTTTAACTTATTAAATAGTCAGTGGAACAACTGGATCTCGTCTTTCCAACTCATATCATTTATAGCTACGTTTTCTTTCTTTTCCTTTTCTCCTTTTTTCTGTTATGTGCTGCTTTGTTTCTTTCTTCTGCTTACGCCAGTAAATATGCTACCATCTACTTTCTAACACCGAACACTCTGTTCAATTTTGACTTTGCCAATGACATGCCAATATGTTGTTGTCAAAACTAACTGAGATTACCCCTAACCTATGTAGAGTTTTATTTATTGTTCATGTACTAACTGGATGCAATATTGTAGTAAAATGCTGAGAATTCGATTCTGTATGACATGTACTGTTTTGGAATAAAGCAAATTATTATTATTACCGAAAAGAATGGCACTCCAGTTTCCGCATCGACTTCATCGACTTTGAAAAGACCTTGACAGAGTGGACCGTGAAGTAACTTCGCAACTTAGCTTAGCGAAGAGTTTTAAGTGAAGACATAAAATAAAATGAGACCATTTTGTTCCACTAATGATCTTCCTAACTGTGGTGATAGACTGTGACGAGTGAAGGGATAATAGGTATTCGCTGGACTGACTAAACGCCCTAGAAGACCTGGACTTCGAGAATGATTTATGTCTTATGTCTCAAAAGCTCGAAAATTTACAAGCTAAGACCAACAAGTTAGCAGGACAGGAAAAGAAGGCAGGAATTCAGGTTAACATAGTGAAGACAGAGGTGATGAAGATGCCCAACTAACATCAACTACAACAACAAATACCAATCATCATCAATTGGAGAAATCTTAAGGAATTAATCTTTTTTTATTTCCCTGGGCAGCATCGTTTGAACTACAGATGGCGCAATTCACTCCCGCCAAATGTAAGATGATGTTACAGGACTGGACTACACTGACTCCTAGTTTAGAAATAGGGAGTGAAGCGGTAGAGCACATTGATCGCTTCACTTATTTGAGAAGTACCATCAGCCAGTGTCAACGGGTTGATCTCTGACGAAATCTCAGCATGGATACAGAGGGCTCGTTTCGCATATGCCAGTTTACGCCGTCTTTGGCTTAGTGGACGTGATATCCGGCTGGCTATCGACCAAAGGGCGAGTGTACTGCTCAGTAATCAGCTCCGCCCTCCTTCACGGCTGGCTGTGAGTGAAACATGACCATTGAGAGTGGAAGACATGAAAAGGCTGGCTAGCTGTCTTTGGTCATAAGTACCTGCGTTCTATCTCCCGTGTGAAGTGGTATAATAGGGTGAGCAATATTGAAGTTAGGCTTCCGTCGAGTGGTTGCTAGTTAAAGATAGGAAATCAATAGACGAAGCTGTGAAGTTACATGGACTGAGATGGTTAGGTCATGTGTTACGCATTCCTACCTAGTCATCGCCTTCTTCGACGGACAACGTTAGCTGACACACGATCAGGTTGGAAAGGTGCTAGGTCAGACGAAAACATGGTATCAGTCAATGAAATCCACAACAGCTAGTTTAAGATGTAAACCTCCTGGTTGGGGTCCTCGGTACGGTAAAAACCAATGAAGGCTGGAAACAATTGGTGATATGACCGGCTTAAAATCGTTCTCAATGGCTGGCTAGCGCAGATGCATCCACTCCTTGTGACTTATGATTTCAAATGAAACTATATCCTTCTTCGTTATTACTTTTACTATTTCTTTGTCTCACACCTCTGTTCACTGTCTCTATTACGCATTTCTTGTACTTTCTTCCCTTGCTTTGTGTGCTGCATTGAGTGGAGTGTGGCAACTTGAACTGCCGCACATTGGTGCAAAGTTCTGTGTCGAAAACAGACAGACAGAGACAGATTCATAAGGAATTGAAAGTAAGTTGGACACACACACACACTTAGGAGATCGTTAAGTGATATTACACTGCACGCTGTCAGGTGGAACCAGAATGTGAAGTGACGAGTTGGGCATTTGAAGATGACATGGAAGAGAGCATGTGCAGGGGGCGGGGGGGAACGACTTTCGACAATCGTGAAGCCAGCTGAAAATGATCGCAGAGAACCGAATGGAGGATGGAGGTGTGCTGCTGAAGCCCCTGTGTTTCGGTCGGAAAGAGATGAACGAATAATAATAATATATTGTCATTATAGACAGCACTAGTCGTCAAAATAGATCTAGCTTTGGTTGGTGGTGGAACACTGAATAATAAAACTAAATTGTTTGTCATATTGCAATTAACAGATGTGCTAACACTATTTTCACTTACTACTAATTAAATGATATGAGTAAAGCATTCTTGTATTCTACAAGTCAACTAACTAATTTTGAAATTTTGACTTCACTCTTTATTAATTTGACCTAATTGCAATGAAGCATGAATAGCAACAACAACAAAATAGAAATCGATATTCGCATTCTTATATCCTTTATGAAAGAGCTTCTCTTGAAATGTACAATGACTGTCCACTTTTTATTTAATAAGGAGCTCAAGTGTTGGTTTGCAGGGATTTGATTGGTTTCAGGATTTCATCATGAGCTGACATTAGTTAGAGAACCATTGGAAAACCTGGGAGTACTGGACAGCTGTTTCGTCCTAGTTTGGGACTCTTCTTCGTGAATTGGTAGAAGTTAGAATTCAAGGACCATTGGAACCGGTCCCAGTGGCTTAATGGTATACGAGCTCGCCTTGTAACCGGAAGGTCCAGGGTTCGAATCCCGGTGGGTACGTACTGCTGAAGAGTCCCAAACTAGAATGAAAAAGCTGTCCAGTACTTTCAGGTTTTTCAATGGTTATCTAACTAATGTCAGCTCATAATAGGGAACTATATACACAAATTGACGGTGTGGCAAAGGGGTAACCACTGGGACTCATTCTAGCTGACATTTTCCTTGCGAAACTAGAAAATGGGCCTTTGAAGGAGTTTATTAATGAACTCGAATTCTATTGTCGGTATATGGATAATACATTTTTGATTATGAAAAATGAGAAGGAAGCAAAGAGCATCCTGGATAAATTTAATGAGGTTCATCCTGTGATAAATTTTACGATTTAGAAAGAAAAAGACTAGTATTTCATTTTTAAATGTCCTTATGACCATAAAAGAGAATGGCACAATAAGAAGTGTATATGGAAGACCTACATCAATCGGTCAGTATACTCATTTTTTCAGCTTCGTGGCCTTGAAATAAAAACGCAATCTGATAAAGTGCTTGGTTCACAGAGCAAGAGCAATTTGCTCGGACGAATGTCTTGATGAGGAACTTAATAATATGGTTATCCTGAAAAGTTTATTGATAAGAATGTGAATACAAAACCAAAGCAGCCCAAGTTACCAACAGTTCCAAAAAAAGGCCTTATTCCTACAAATGCAGTTCCTTGGGGACAACACCAGCGAGATACTAAAACAGCGCCTTAGAAATGCGGTAAAAAGAGCATTCCCTGCTGCTGAATTACTCTTTATCTTCAAAACCACTCCTCCTTTCCGCCTTTTCCATGTGTATACACCAATTTCACTGCTCCTGTAGAGTGAGCCAGTCACATAGGCTATACAATTAGGCATGTTTCTGGTCGAATTTCCGAACATACAGAACACAAGATTGACGTTAACCATGCTTTCAGGGTCATTTACCGCATACCTATGAATCTCAATTTTGCCTTAACAGTTCCACTATTAAATATTGCTGAGGCTGGCTGTTGGGATCCATATTAACAAGCCTAATTTGTGCATCCAAAAGAAGTTAGTTTAGACATTATTCATCACCTTCGCCATCTAGGTTCGAATGATCCTGAATTTTTGTGGAAGTTTCCTAATTTCAGTTGATATTCTATTCGCTACTATATTATTATTATTTAAGCATTTTTAGTGAACTGTAATTCCATTGTGATCATACTTAACAAATCGATATTATTTAAAAAACACTAATATTGTTATTGACTACTATTCTAGAATATTCTATGTATATAAACATGCATATGTAATTGTAGAGCCAGAAGAGGAATTTATCGAAAGAGGATATTCTTTGCTCAGTTATTTTGTGTTTTATAAAATAGAAATCAACAACTGGATAGCAGACTGGTATGACTTAATTAAATATATGTAACAAATATGCAGGAGAAAGTGGAGATGGATAGGACACTCGCTGAGGAGACCACTGGGTGACATGGCGCGTCAGGCCATTGCTCGAGTGGAACCAGGCAGAAAAGGAAGCGGCGAGTGGGACGTCAGTGCAAGGGTGACACGGAGGAGACCGTGTGAAGAGGAGTTGAAACAGTATGGACTAACATGGATGCAGGTGAAAAGTACAGCAGAAGACAGAAGCAAGTGGAGACGTGGAGTTGAAGCCCTATGTTCCACTAGGAACCCAAGGGAACAATAATAATAAATAATAATAACGTTGAAGGCAAATATTGCAATGATTGAAACTAAATGCCAACTGCTTGATATTACGATGAGCAATGCAAAGGAGTCGCAACATTGAGTGGAGTGTGGCAACTTGAACTGCCGCACATCGGTGCAAAGTTTTATGTCGAAAACGGGCAGACAGATAATGCAAAGAGTATACGCTTCTAGGCGACAATGATAAGACAGTCGTTGGTGGAAATATGCAGAGATACGGAGTGATATATATGGCAACCGGTAAAGTTAGATTAATCATACAAAATACACAAAGGTGATACACCTCTCACTTACAGGGTGCTTGGTGATTTTGTGGACATAATAAGTTGAACTGCACAGTTTAGTTTCACCGCAAATCCCACATTTGGTACCTTGATGAATGGATAATCCACGCTTCGTCCAAAATAACTGACCACATATTTGACAGGGGAGACTTGGAAGTCTTTTTAGATATTCGCTCTAATTTGATTTTAACAGAAAAAGTAAATTTAAATAAAGCAATAAGAAGACGTAATTTGTCTGAATCGTGTAATGTATTTGCGCAACACATTTCGAACAATCTGATCACACACGGGCTTGCCATAGGAATATACATGAAATTAATAAAGAGGTGAGAGGTGAGAAAATAGACTTAGTTCAAGTTAAAAGGACAGATTCAAGGTGAAAATAACAATGAAGAACACTAAATCAAATAGCAGAGGTAATAGTACATCTTCTATGGTATCAAAACAAAATTTACCAAGGAAGATTTAATGTGATGACGAATTGTTTTTGAACGCATAAAGGTGGTTTAAACTTCCTAATTGCTAGAGCTTCCACAAACTTTAGGAGACGCCCCAAACACGTTTTATAGATAGGTTTAAAAGATCTGTTAACATCAATTTTATGTCCTGTCTCTATAATGTTTCGCAATAGAAGAGCTAGGTCTCTTGTTATCATCACTAATGGGTGCTCAAGATTCTATTTGTTTTTGGAGCCATTTAGGAATATGCTGTGAAGCCAGTCCTTACTTGCAGAGATCGATGAGTCCTCCCTATGTATGTGTGTCCACACGTACATTCAAATTGGTGAATACAGTGGGATGTGACATCATTTTTCTCATATTCGAAGGGCTAAGATATATATATATATATATATATATATATATATATATATCGGCTTCACATTATCAATTATTATGATATCAGCTGCATAAAAAAGTCTTTTTAACAGCACAGTTCAATGTTTGTCTAGTTATCAAGTTGCTATGATTCCCCCATACAGGGTAGCTTGATGTACACGTCTTTCTTAGAGTCTTAGTGTTCTGACTACTTGATATCTCCTGATGAACTTGTCTGGACAATTTTTATCAACCAGATTTTGTGTCAACTTTCTTTCTTCTTCATCAAGTGTGTCTTCAGTGCATATTCGTTGGATTCTATTGAAGAGGCACCTCGCTCACTAAGGCTCTTTTGTACCGAACAGGGCAGAAACTGTGGTAATTAAGATACTGTCCTGTCCAGGTAGGTTTTCTATAAATAGATCTTTTTATTGACCCATCAAGCCGTCGACGAAGCAATATGTCTAGGAAAGATAAACAAGTATCTTCCTCTTCTACAGATGTAAGTGATATGCTATTCTGAACTTCATTCATTCGATTTAAAATTGAGGTGGCAGAACAAGGCTTATCACTGATGTCTACGATATCATCTACATACCTCCTATAAAGTGGCACATCTTCGATTAAATCCTCCCATAAATTCTCAATGTACGATATATAAGTATCTGCTAAAAACGGAGGGCCCTAACGGACTTCCCATAGCAACACCAACTTGGCGGAAACAATCGCCTTCAGATGTAAACCTAACATCGTTAGTACATAGAAGTAATAAGTCCCTTAAATAAGATTTAGGGAAAGGGATGAAAAAATTGTTTGCGGAAATATAATCACACAAAAATAAATTACGAATATAAATGCAATCACTAATGAAAAGTATAAAATACAGATAAGATATAATTTAAGCGACGTCAAAATAAAATAACCTCTTAAAAATACTTCTTGTACTGTTTTTAATAACCTAACATTAAACTAGTTTCGTAGTCTAACTTTATACCGATGAATTTATCTACTTTTAATAAGCATTGAACTATTAACATCTAGATGTGGAAGTGATAGGGCAATAATAGCATGTAAAAAGTGTTAGCTGTCCGTCTGTCTGGATTCAACATAGAACTTGGCACCGAAGTGCAGCAGTTCGAGTAGCTGTCCGTCACAGTTAAGTGTATGGATACGAAAGCCAACTAAACGAATATCAGTATTTAAAGCTTCCTCTCTCTCTCTCTCTCTCTCACGACCCGACCGATAGCTGCTACCTTGACGTGGTGGTCACCAGGCTTGCACATCGCGATGACCCAACAAACTGCAATTGCTGGAATCAATGTTCCTGCAGGTCCTACCATGCCAGGAAGATTGTTAGGATAGCGATTAGACTAAAATAAGTTACCGGCATTGTGTAAGAATCTTTCGAAGTCGTACTACCACTGGGGAACAGGGGTGTAACAGCAGTGAGGTGTTTCCCTCAGATGACCAGCATGCCAGCCAGCTATGCTGTCTCTCCACTCCGGAAAGAGGGAGTTAGAAAAGGTCGACCCCAAAATTTGTACACCCCGACTTACCCCGACAATTATGGTGGTCCGTAACCGGCGATAAGTTTACTAATACGAAACCAATCCCAGGAACCAGTTCACACAGGCCGTGTGTGACCGGCCTCAAGCAGTTGTCCCCTGGGCTCTGCAGTCACGCAACACTAAACCTCTTTCTGTTCCAGGTACCCGAAGAATCAATCAATTTTCACGGTGTGGGCAGCCGGGAAGTAACAACCACCCAGACACTTCCAAAAGCACACGATCCCTTCCTGAGAATCATTCTCTCTCCCTCATGAAGAAAATCAACACTAGAAAGCTACACCTTTTTCATGAAATTCAATCAATGGTATTTCTTACTCAGATGGTATTTCTTTACTCATATTACTTGACAAACGAATAGTGTAGGGCTTTTTTTAGGTAGCACAAGCTACACTTTACCTGTCTAATACAGACCAAGTAAGTTTGTGATTGCAAACTATGAATTAGAAGACTATTGAAAATGACTTAATGATAGAAACATGTATGTCGAAATTTATTGCAGGAGACCTTCATGATGTCATTAAAATTCCTACTCTTTAGCAATTTAGCTATAATAATAATAATCCAATCCAATCCAATCGAGTTAAACTCCCCGGTTAAACTAATGTGGAATTAACATACAAAATGTAGCTAAATTAACTGCCACATGCTTTATGAACACTAGGCCATGAGTTACAATATATCTGACGGCTTATGACACTAGTTGTTACATCCGACTGAAATCGTCAAAGTGGGGTTCCAACCTAAGAACTACCGACTGGTATCAGGTGCTTAATTTAATTACCCGTAAACCTACATATAGACAATGGCAGATAAACGAATTACATAAATATTAATGCGCAAAATTTTGTAATATGTAACCTAAACTTTTTTTCCTCTTGTAAGAGACGTAGCAACGTAACTTAGAGTAACGATTGTTCGAGAGGAACACATATTATTGTCCTCACACATTACCATAGAGAATACTTGTTGTCCAGTAGACGTTTTTAGTCTTACCACTACCTCACTGACTTTATTAAGGTGTATTATTTTCAGACGTAAGTATTAGCAAGAAGAAATCTATTGAACTACTAATGATAAGCCTGATTGACTATATTAAGTCAAGTAGGACTGACTGTGTTAAGAGTGAAAGGCGATGACGATGATGATGATTAGTGATGCAAATTAAGACCTACCATAAGTTCTAATGGTCTTTTAACAACTTGATTACTTTTCTATAGTTTGGTTTGTAAGGGTTAGTTTTGTTTTTACGAGTTGATCACGGATTGATATCAGCTAGAGAATCATTGAAAACCAAAGAGTACTGGACAGAGCTGGTGAGAAGTCGTGACCACTGAGGTCCATCCAGATGTCATGGATGTCCCATCTACGACAATGGCTGGGGTCGCGCTAAATCATGAATTGGTAGAAGTTAGGATTTGTGAGCCATTGAATCGGATCCCAGTGGCTGAATGATATACGAGCTTGTCTTGTGACGAGAAAGTCCTGGGTTCGAACCCTAGAGGTGGGTGCGTACTGCCGATGATTCCTAAACTAGAATGAAACAGTTGTCCAGTACTCCTTGGTTTTCAATGGTTGTCTAGCTGATATTAATCCGTGATCAACTCGTAAAAACTTGATTACTTCCTGACTAAGTCGAACTCTCTTGCCCGACTTAGTTTGGTAGTATGAAGTAAAGATATTCACTCATCATAGTTATGCGTATATGATGACTTCAACAGATAAGTAGGGAATTCATGATACTATTTTGAGGAGTCAGAGTCACATAAACATTTTCACAGCCCACCACTTACCTAAAGCAATAAACACTGTTTATAGCAACAGAGAAAATACCTATAAGCAACTTCACTGTTTACAGTATGGTTATTCTCATAGTTGTGCGTCGGTCGCACAGCGGTTAGGACGCTCGCCGACCATTCACATGGTCCGGGGTTCGACCCCCAATGCACTCCTTTACCTCGCTAAGCCAGAAATAATGCTGGTAGAGAGGAAAGGTTGGGCATAAGGCCAGCAACCCCATCCTATAAAAAATAAACACTGCTACAGAAATTTCAAGCCACTAACTTGAAGCCCTATGTTTCACTGGGAACGTGAAGGAAAATTAATTATTAATTATTCTCATATTTGATCAAAAATTCGAGAAAAAAACTGGGAAAACTTACTGTATGACGATAGTCAATATGTGAACGCTGAACACTTGTTTCATTTGAAATACTGGTACCGCACACTTCACATGGAACTTGATACATTGGTAGTACACGAGGTACACTAGATGATGGGTTTCTTATATTTCGGTCGATCTGACTATTTGATCCCAGCTGGATACGTACTGTATTTGCACTCCCATTAGGTGTAGACAATCCTTGAAACGACTCTTCTAAAGTCAAATTAGTAGAAGTTGATTCTATAGATTTTGGTTGAAAATGAATATTCAACTTATTAGGGAGGGATGACACAACAGTTGCTTTCGATGACGCAGCGGAACATCGTGTAACTGAGATATGTGTAGCTCCACGCAATGATACACTAGATCGTTTAGTAGCCGTCGTACTGCCCGAACAATTTGGTTCTAAAGGTAGGGAACATTTCTGTTTTCTACTGGGAGCAGATTTACTGAGCAAGATGCTTGGTCGTGGTTTGGGACATGTAACTGGCTTCGCCACTAAATCAGATACAGGATAAAGGTTGGATGGCAAAGCGAAACTTCGTTGTGTCATCGAAGACGATGAGATAACTACAGTTGGAAAAGCGGTAACACTTTAAATCAGGTTAGTTGATCTCAATAGGATTTGAAGTGCAAGGTGGTGAACTTCTATAAAGGAATGATGGTATGCATAACTGATACTTAAGGGATCGTTAAAATATAAAACGCAGAAATTGGTATGGAAAACATGATTTAAATCCAAATGAATGAATTTCATAAAGACCTACTAAAAAGTAACAGCCGTATCCAGAACCAATTGCTTATATCTGGTAGACGACTTCGTTGCGTATATTTTTTTTTTTGATTTACAGCTTGATTCCACACTGTATTTTTGGTACAAGTATGGAATTTTCAGCATGGATATCGGTAGCCCAAATTTTGCAGGCCGACCATAGATATCAGGCGTGCGCCGGCGTGGGCTCGAACCCCGGACCATGTGCATGGTCGGCGAGAGTCCTAACCACTGTGCCACCGACGCACAGTAGTAGTCGAATAAAATGCAAAGTGCGTCGCTGACCATGAACATGGTCCGGGGTTCGATCCCCGGCTACCGACGCACTCTCTTTACTTCGCTAAGCCAGTAGTGAGACTGGTAGAGCGGAAAGGTTGGGCATGAGGCTAGCAACCCCAGCCACTAGCTTGAAGCCCTATGTTCCACTGGGGAACGTGAAAGGAAAATAAAATACAAAGCAAAGAAAAAAAACTTTTAAATCCTGGTTTTGTAATAACAAGAAAGGATTAGGAAGCCATAATAATGTATCAACAGAATCAGTGGTTGGCTTCACATGATAGAAAATCCACCTTAAAAGCTGATTTAGATGTTTACTGCCACCCATTACCAAAAGAAATTACAAATACAGGAAACTTTTGCTTTCTTTTTTTCTTTGACTCCTTGGATTACTAGGAAGACTAAAATGTTACCTAAGACTGAATTCTCAACTAAGAAATTCACAAAACAGTGTTAAACTTCGCTAGATCGCACAAACATGGGAGAAAGGTTGAAGAGAAACCACAATCGACGGAAATATATGCGAAAAAGAATAACTAGGCAGAGGTTAGTGAGAATTTTCAGAATCTATAACATGAAAAGTAGTGGATATCTTCCAAACAAATAAACTGAAAAATGAAAGCAGTTATGCTAGTTTCTATGTTGGCTTGTTTAACCGATAATCAACCTGAATAGCATTTATGATGATCTCAATCTGTCACCTATGTAACATGAGGCTAGTAAAGATTAATAGTAACGAACTCAGAAATTTGACATTGCAAATAAAGTTGAAGTTTGCAGAAGTGAAGCAGAAAAGATTCTGACAAAAATTGACTACACAGGTATGTTTATTGAAATCTTATAAAGCTGAAATTTTGAGACAAGGCTTTTTCCATTGGAAATATGAGTACTGTATGGTTGTAGCATTTTGAATTCCAAGCATTCCCAGAGAAGTTAAACTTTAAGCGCCGAAGAGGAGAGAACGCACTGATGACCTTAGAACGCTTAATCAGCAAGTTACCGAAAGTAGGTGAATGACATTGTATTCATGAAAAAATGTGCTTAATGAAGTGTTATGATACTAAATGGGGTATCTGATAAGTTTCACGTTACATTTTGGAAAGGGTAAGGTTAGGGGCAGATTAGGGCTACGGTAACCTGGTGGAGCTAACGTTTGTCTTTAAGTCTCTGTAGTATGTTTAAAGTGGGACCCAACCTTCTGCTGTGCACCCGAGGTATACCCTGAAGTTACTACAGTGTGTCAGAAGTTTGACTTTGTCGTGCTCCCCATAGGGCTTTCACTGATCAGGGAGTGGGCAATCCAACCCTTTATCCTTTGGTCTGTCCTAGAGTCAAAAAAATTGTTCCCCATGAATAAACTGAAAGATTCGCAAGAGTAAATGTTGGAGGATGTTTATCACACTTGGTATTTTTAAGGCTATAAAGTTGCATAACATCATCAAGAACGAAGCTATTGCTGGAATTCGTCAATCAGGGATGAAGTTCGAGATGCATCTAGCTCTAAATACAACGGCACAACCCAAGAGGATTTTTTCGTACATTAACCCCCGGGAATAAGACATTCAACGGGATTTAAAACCTAACTATTGGTGACGACACAATCGAAAAAGACCATGAAAAAAGCGGAAGCAATGGCAGACTACCTCTCAAAAGTCTTTACGCATGTGTTGTTACCTCCTATAGCAGCAGCGCTGGCCGCATCAAAGGAATACACACCAAAATATCGTACTTCATACTCTAAAGAAACTAGGTGCAAGGAAGTCAATGGAACACGATGATCTTCATCCTTCGCTTCTCAAGGATCTGTCAGAGCACATAGCTGGCCCACTTATTATGATCTTCAAGCTGTCTCTCATGAATGGAATGTTACGTGACTGAAAAAACCGTATAGGAGGATCCAGACACTTCCCCTCAAACTGCAGGTCCAGCAGTCTTACCAAGACCATCAATATTCTGCAGAGAGTCATCAAGAAAGATATTATGGCATATCTGGAAAACAACAACTTGTTGTCCAGAGCACAGTATGGCATCCGGCGAAAATTCAATTACCTGATAAACCTCACAGAAAGAGGGACCAGGGCCAAGGTGTCGCGAAAAATCTATCTACATCGTTTCATAGACTTTAGCAAAGCCTTCGACAAAGTATTTCATACAAAACTGTTCATGCAATTGGAAACTTCCGTGATCACGAGCAGCTTACTGGACTGAATTAGGGATTTCCTCATAATTAGGAGATAGAGTCAGGATCAACTCAAAACTCTCCTTCCAGACAGCAGTACACAGTGGAGTGGCACCGTAATCGGGCTCCTCTTATTTATCTTTTATACTCACCAAATCCGCTATGGTCCTCCGCGAAGATGACTTAAAAATTTGGAGGGAGCTAAAGGACGAAAATGACATGCTTGTGTCACAAGGTCTCAACAAATTATTAGATTAGTCCAAAGAATGGAGACTCGATCAATGCAACGAAGTGCGCAACTATGCGCATCAGACACGCAAGAGTCAGCTCATACGAACTAGAGCTGACTAGCTGAGCTAGAACCAGTTCACTCATACGGACCCGTACCCAATGGGCGTCATAATAAGTTACAAATTAAAATGCTACAGCACACCATCGCGCGATGGTCACTTGAAGTTTCAGATCTTCATGTTATACGCGGAGTGTTTACTAAAACTACTACAGATATGTTCATTTCAGATACATCTCTGATGAGGTAAAGACTGGAAGAATGTATCTAGGCAGACAGTCCTAATCTTAAGAGGGATTTATATATTCTAGAAAGCGTTTAGAGGGAGGCAACAGGTGTGATTCTCAGAATGGTCAATTTATCATACAATGAAAGACCAAACAATATGAATTTCTTCAACTTGTCATATCGTAAGCAGAGGTAATGACACTACAATGTTCAAAAATTTAAGCAATGACTACGGATCTAATCTGCTATTTTTTTTCCTTCCCGCTAGGACGGAACACCTCGGACGACATACCAGGAGAGTTAAATATCCGAGAAGGAACTATATTGCTGTGGAATACCGATTCTCACAACAAGTCATAAACTCCAGGAACAGATTCCTAGAAGAAGGGGTGTCACAGCCATCAACTGAATAACTCAAGGTCATAGAAAAGTACAGGGACTTACTAGAAAAGGATTAACGCAGAATTCGCGCCTTCTATCATCAGGTCATAATTCTGAAACTGAATGTAGTTACACTTGTGTGAATCAGCTGGTTGTGGAAAACACGTATTAGGACATTAGAAAGAGGACACAAAGTTCAACAAGGATGGTTATCTTTTCGGTGATTTCATTTTCAAAATCTGTACAATCGCATTTAAATACATAATTTTACATGCATACAATTCTTGTTTGATTCCACATAATAACGAAGGCCAATAAAAGGTGACAATTATTTTCAACTAGATATGGTTAACGAGAAGCTTAGAGACAAAATTACACGGGATTATAGTGAATTACAGGTGTAAATAAAAATGAGCATGGAAACAAAATTGAGATAATTTTCAACTTGAAATGGAAGTTATGAGGTGTGAATATAGATTACAAGAGCCTTAGACACACAAAAATTGCACAGGATTAAGATATAATTGTAAAATAGTCATTTTAAACGAATTATAAATGTGAACAGGAAAAACATGGAAACAAACTTAAAAATGTTCTAATAACTGAAAAAATTGGATGAATTGAATGAAGACAGAGAAAATAAGAATCGCACACACGGAGAAAGAAAAAAAATCAAAATAGAACAAGAAACGGAGGCTAAAGGAACATACCGAACTAGGTCCATGGTAGTTGTAGATGTTGGACTAATTTCTTTTGAACACAGCCCCGGCATTTCCATGGATATTGCAGTACAGAGAAGTCGAAAATATACTGCTTTTGGCAGTTTGTGTTAACTTGGTATATTAATTTAAACGAATCAGCTGAGATGTGGGATGTTGATATGATGCTCAATAATGGCACTTCTGATTGAACCGGGGCCTCCTTTTTGTTGGGTAATGTTTTGAAAGGACACGCATACAACGACTTATGTACCTAGCTCCGCATGAGCAGGTGAACTGATATATGCACATTGAATTGGTCATGTGCGAGAGTTTGTCCTTAGCACTGTTTCGAAGTAATGGACGGCTAGAATGTCGCTCTTAGTGTTGCTGCAGGGAAGGTCTCTTAGGCTCGATATTCCCCTCTCCGGGATATAAACTGCCAAATCCTCACTGAAATTCAGACTCATATAGAGCGTTTTCTTCGGCGCTCAATCGCATTCTTGTCTTTTTGGTTTAGGTTTCATGTTCTTTCCGACAAAACGTGTCAGGTAACCACTTTGAGACAGGATAGTTTTGGGGAATAAGAGCTCCTCTTCCAGGTAATCTCTGATGCAGATTTTTCTAATGCAATGGGAGCTCGTTTACGGCTCAAAGGTGTCAACTGGTTCGCCAACATCATATTTCCGACATGTCTGTCTGCCTGCTCCTTGCGGACATACATCAGCACCTAAAAACGGCTTCAATGATATAACAAACACCAGTAACGTTTGAAAAAACGCTGCTCTGCAGGTACTTGCAGAGACACATGTGCAAGAGTGCCCATTACTGAATATGAAACGCACATTTCATAATCTGTAATAAGAACCTTCTTGGATTATACAAAAGCCATTCCTTCGAACAAAATTCAATGTGAATACTTTGGGTTCATATATCGGGGATAATAACCATGAAATAGAACGGCCTGATAGTAGAAAATTTACTTTAATATCTAGGCACGAGAACAGTTTTTAAAATGTTGCCTATTAGTATGACCTTGACAAGATGCAGACAAACAAGATAACTGGAGAGACCCCCAGTGAGTTAGATTTATGTGACACGTTAGTAGAAGTTTCACCTCCTACATGTTTTCCTGTGGACAGTCTTATCAAAAGTATCATGACAGACGACGCGTGCTCTTTGGAAACGACGTACTGGGCGTCGGTGGTACAGTGGGTAGGACTCTAGCCTACCATGCACATGGTCCCAGGTTCGATCCCCTTTTGATGCACACCTGATATCTATGGTCGGCCTGCTAAATTTAAGCTACCGATATTCATGCTGAAAATTCCATACTTGTACCGAAAATACAGTGTGGAATCAAGCTGTAAATCAAACCCAGTAAGGTACAGCAGGTCGAAGATGAGGCAGTAACTCATCGAAGAAGACATTGCGAAGTGGTCGTGCTATGTGGTGAATTGGCAGAAGTTAGAATTCAAGAACCATTGGATCGGGTCCCTGTGGCTCAATGGTCTACGAGCTCGTCTTGTGACCAGAAGGTCCTGGGTTCGAATCCCGGTGAGTGCGTACTGCTGAGGAGTCCCAAACTAGGATGAAACAGCTGTCCAGAACTCCCAGGTTTTCCAGCGGTTCTCTAACTGATGTCAGCTCATGATTAAATTAAAATTAACCGGAGGTTGCATTCGTTGGCTACTAACGTAAGTTTAGATGACAGGTTTATATATATATATATATATATATATATCTGTGTGTAGTTTAAACAACTTACACCAACATGGGTCTCATTACTATCTGTGAACGACCGGACAGCCACTTCCTGGTAAATGATGGGATGAAGCATGATAACTGCAACCTATGGTTTCTTGAAGTTAGCACTAGCTTATCACCATCAGCCTCTAGGAGATGCAGCAAGCCACCACCTCCATGGGTGTGCGAATTTCCTAGCAGCCCGTCGGGTGCCCCCATCTAAGAGGCCATAGGAGTTCTTGCGTGCAAAATAGTTGACAAAATTATCAGATGAAAGAAAAAGCCACTATCTGGAACCGAAGCCATGAATGATTATTCTGGACTGAGACAAAACCTCATCCCGAAGTGGAAGACATAAAAGAGGTACAGAGTGCCCAAAAGTCTGCAACGGCGAGCAAATAGTCCCGAAAATCTAAGAGGGCAAGTTGGGCCAACATTGCAAGTCCACCTGGTGATACTACTACGACAAAGTGCTGCGTGTCTGATGACCGGATGGCTTCCAATTGCAGCGAGAGCAAAGTGGAAGCAACTTATTTCACTTGGTTAGTGCCAAGAACCAAGAAGCTGAAAAAATACATGAAAGTGAAAAATACTGGGCTGAGTGATTAAGTCTCGATGACGGTAAACATTAATATGTTGCGAAACCTTCGTATTCCAATTACAGTATCGTAAGTTGGAAATTGGAGGAATCAAAGAAAGCAGATCCAGCTGCTCGACATGCTCATTATCTTAAGGTAGCTAACTCCGTCATTAGTGAAGTGCTTCCTGAAAAAACAAATGGACTATACATAAGAAAAGTAATCAGAATCGGTAAACGTAATGCTGATGCAACGGAAAGTCCCCACGACTGCTGAAGATTGTACTGGGGTACGAGATGGAGAAAAGCATTATTCCCAACAACGCATTTAAGAACAAGGACAGAAAGATGAGAATAAGGCCCAGCTGGCCTCTGGTAGGTAGAACTAAGAGAAGAGAAGCCGCGACTGAACGAAAGGCCCGAGTAGAAACAAACCTCAAACTGATGGATTTTCGGGTAGTAAGATCTTGGAAAACTATGTTACCCAGACCTCTGTTCATAAGCCAAGTGAAAATGTTGGACCCTCTGTATGCTATATGAATTCTTGTATTCCTAGGAATAGGGTTCCTGAACTAGGAGTGTTGTCTGCAAAACTGCAACCTAATGTGATTCCTACCACTAAACATGGTTGTTAGTGGTTACATCTGCATTAGAGCCGGCAGATTAAGTATTCAGAAAAGTGGGGGTTGCTCTATACATCCGGGATGACTTTTATTTTTATTTTTTATTTTTTTATTTTTGATTTACAACTTGATTCCACACTGTATTTTTGGTACAAGTATGGAATTTTCAGCATGGATATCGGTAGCCCAAAGTTTGCAGGCCGACCATAGATATCAGGTGTGCGCCGGCGTGGGCTCGAACCCCGGACCATGTGTATGGTCGGCGACAGTCCTAACCACTGTGCCACCGACTTAGGAATTAGAGCAAAGTTATCGGAAGCTTATGACAGTGGCACTAGTGAAGCCGCAAGTTGTGTCATTAACTTGAACAAGAGCACTGTGATAACAGAGGTTATTTATAATAATAATGTATATTCTCATATAAACATATAAATTTACATGAAAATGCATGCCATTTTTACAGGCACGATCAAGTATGATATAATATCAAATCGTAGATTGTCTACAAGTTAATAATGTTTCAACATTCAAATATTTGATGTATATATAAATACACTCATTGTCTGAACTAGGCTGTATAGTTATTGAATTGTACAATTGTCCTCCAGGTTGAGCGGGAAAATCGACTTCGTTTCGTTTTCATCCCGTGGTTGTCGGCATACGATAACCAACCAATATTGAGGTAAGTACAACGTTTACAAGGGATTGAAAGCTGTTTTTAGAAAAGTAAAAGTGCTAAGGTGAGTCAATAAAGTGTAATGAAATGGGTAAGTGCAAGTATCACTAATAAATGCATTAATAAAGGAAACTCCCTAGGCTGACAACGTTCATTTGCAATGTATAATGCTTCCTGTACAGTTTGCACAATCGTGATGTCCACTTTTGGTTTTAATACATTTTTTCCTTATGTCGGTTTTTTTATTTTATGTCTTTTTGTGCATTTGGTGCACAACCGTACCCTACAGAGAATAGGAATAGAATAAGTCGAATCAAATTCATAAAAAGCTATAAAATGTTAGGTTTAATGGGATATAATGAGGATCAAGTAAAGACGTTATTAGAAAATAAATGAGGTAAGACATTGTGAAGTGGTATTTAAAGATCCGACAATGGACAGCAAGTTAGTTTATAAGATGCCCCGTAAATCTGTGCAGATCCCGCGTGGTCGCGTCTCAACAATAGGCTGAGCGAATGGTATATATTTAAAGGTAGAAACATGATCTGTCAAGGCGTTCATTATTATCTTTTTCAAGATAAAGATCTAAGCCCTCATAAAAATCAGAAATATCTCGAGCCTTTAATTTGTATATTGCTGTTCCTGCAGAGTGGGGCGATTCACCTTAGTGACCCCCACCATATCTACTGATCAGCTAACGCCACCCTCCCTCCTTTTTTAGAGAAGACCTGCCAGACAAGCTGATGATTTCGTACCAAAACACCTTAGGACTTGGAGTAGTAGAAATAGGTGTCTAACTGCCTTGTACACTCTTTTCAACAGGGAACTCATTCTGACAGTGCGTGAATGCACACCTGGGTAGCATATAGGCGCACCAACACGAAACCCCCTGAACATGACCCATCCACTCCAGATTGGTGCTAACCCACCAGAAGGAGGATGTCAGTGACATTAGTAGCCGCTAGGCAGTAGTGACCGTAGAGTTATCACTTTTACGTTTAGGATTCAATGAACGGAATATTCCCATACGGATTCATAAGAAAAGACGCAAACAGCGAAGAAAAGTTTCTTTTCGACGATTCATTTTCATGAGCTGTACAAATGTAATTATACTTAACAAAGCAATCATTGGACCAATCAGATACTGGTAGACTTTTCCCTCGAAAAATGCATTACATGATGTAGGGTATAAGAAGGGATGATTACTTGTAAGTCAGAAAAGAGTGGTAATAAAATATAGATGATGGGAACAATGATGACAATAAAATAAAAGTGGTAATAACAACAATAATAGTAAACCTACATAATGGAAAAGAGGTATCCTGTCATATATAGGTCGTCCAAACATTTGGAAAGCAAATATACCTTCAATCTGAAATGCAGCAACCCTAAATGAATGGTCTACTGATACACGCCAGACTGTCCAGGCAGCTTGGATGAAATTTAGGAATACTCTGCACCCGTTTTGCCCTGGTCTACACCTCGAAAATCATCGCGAACTGCACCTTGGGTCTTTATGACGCACACGGACAGGAGGACCCAGTAATCATTGTCAGTATTGATTTGAAAAAACTGCGAATTGCGACGCAGAAGCAGCCTAGGCTTGTTGACTGCTATGAGCAACTTGAAGGGCTTTCAGACGATTAGACAAGGGTATTGTGATGCACCATAGATTCTGTTAGCTTAGTATCCCAAATTCAAGTAGAAAATAAAATACTAAATCAGTTAAGTTACTGGAAGAATATATTAAAGTTTTGTTACTTGGGTATTTACAAGGTCCAGAATCCACAATTAACGTAATGGACTCCAGAGGTATTGCAGGAAGACTGCTCCAATACTAATTCTCCAATGTTGATGTTGCCGGAGGTCGACCAAAGTAGGTAGGAAGAGACTACGGTGCTCCTGCGAAAATTTGAGGTAAAACGCAGGTGGTTAAAATTGATCGACGGCAGTTGAGATGGTGGAGAAGACGGAGAGTCTAAGACAGAACTATATTTTCATTCAAAACCCGAGGTAAAGTCCAAGGTACGGAGATAATGATTAAAACAAAGTAATGTACAATATGTTCATTTCTTACATAGTAGTAAAAATTGGATAAGTTTGTTTTTGAGGACTCCACATGGCTCCTCCTCTTAGAGGTCCGGAGGACCATCAGTACTGTCCTCGTGAACGATTACATGAATATAGGCAATATAGTTTATTATGTTAGCAATAGAGATAACAAAAATTAACAGCAACAATCATAAGGATACAAAATTAGATCAGGATGTATGAAATGCATCCGTGTCGTATAATGATTAGCACATGCAAGCATGATTCAGGAATTTAAAAAAAATCAAAACATGTTATGATTTTAAATAAAAAAATTATGTACATAATAAACCATGACGTGGTCGTTAGCATTTGCGAAATTCATATATAAATATAT